TGTAATAATAATATATACTTGTTCAACGTATACCTAAATAACTTTTGTTCGGTTTATGATGTACTTTTCACGATTATTGTATTTCTAACAGTACCATGTATTACTATATATTTTATTCTATGCGAACTTGTATTATTATAGTTTTCTCGTTGGGATTCGCCCGTTTAAATAAACAAATAATATTTGTTCTGTAAAATATTTAAGATATTATATGTATACTGTCGGGGTGTGGGATAATAATACCTACCTATAATAAAACGATGCCTTGCGACGAGGGGGACCGTCCGTATATATTATTTTTGTTATTTTTACGATGCGCGACGACTACGATGCACGTATATTTTAATAATCACACCGTTCCAAATATACAGCGGCGCCCCACGTCGCGACCACGTTGTCGTCATCGTCTCCGTCGCTACTTTATACACGCGCACACATATACAGACGGTTAGAAGGTTACCAAAGACTTGTCTGGGGATTGGATCGTGTGGAATATACTGCAGGGGTAACCAAACTATTTTTGGTACAGATCTACTAAGAACATCATATTTTTCCTTTGGGGATCGACTTATTAACAAAAATGTTTAATTACAAATTACCCAATAAGTATTGACAATACACATACATTATATACAAATAATACATCTAATATATATATATATATATATAATTAAGTAATGTTTTTCATCACATTTTTATTAAGACTAATCGTCGTCGTTATGCAAAAAGTGACCATGTGCAAAAATTGATACCCTAATGGGGGGATTTTGAGAATCAAATTTGGAAATTCAAATAGCATCCTATATTTAAAACTCCATAGATAGATAGAGTATTTGTTCATATAAATATTGGTGTTGCAATTTTCGATTTCCATCAACTCATTGACGAAATATTCCACTTTTTAGTTTAGACAGAGTGAGAGTAATGGAACACTATGCGCTTGTGTGGTGGCACAGCCCGACGAGCAACTTTTGGATAGTGTTCCACTTGCTGTAACATACAATTCTGATTACGCTGTACCTATTTTAAAATATTATTTGAGCAAAAAGTAACGAAGCTACTTCGATTTTCATAACATATCAAAATATTGCTTCCAGTTTAAAAAAAAAAAAGGATATAGTACTACTTTCTATTTCTGAAACAAATTTGAGTGATTAGTTCCTTATAATATTTTATTGTGATAATATACAGTTATTTTTATTATTTATTAAATTATTATGAACTAACTAATTTTTTTTATATTTGCAGTTAAAAGTTTTAATATTTTGTTAAAATTGGTTATTGTTATAATTATTCAAATAGCTATACCTAAATACCTAATAAATTATATTATTTGATAATATATATTATCTATTACTAACACTTATTAATACAAGTTACCTACTATTAACACATGTTAATACGTGTTGTTAATAATAATCCCAACAAAAACCCAAAAAATGTAAGAAATTAATTAGCTCCTTTTTGATATCACTACTTTTCTAAGTTGAGTTTTTTTTTTCTTAGCGATGTTTTTACATGTAGTTAACGGAGCTTTTTTTTGAGATATCAGTTATTTTGTTCATTTAAATTTTGGATATAGTTAACCTATGTTTTTTTTTTTATCGAATGAAAAATTATGGGGACAAAATATCTTTGTTGTTTTATGGACTAGTAGGGTTTAATGAAGATATGATGTATAGCTATGAATATAGCTTATGCATGTTGCTGGAAAATGATACTATAGTAATACAGTGATAAAATAAATAAACAAAATTGTTTTTTATTCATCGCAAACGGGTGGTAACAACGCGTATAACATTTATATTATTGAATTGTTGAAAAAAATAGCCTTTCGAGTAAAAACTATGCTAATACTTTTGCATATTACTCAGGATGTAATCATCCGATCAACTTAAAATTTACAAAAGTATCATTTACTTAATATACTGATCAACCTGTGTAAATTGCAAAATAATCAGTCTACTAGTTTAAGTGACAGAGAGGTTGGACCGTTTGTCGTAAAATTACACAGGTTACATAGAAGTTAGCCGTAATACATTATGGTCGACGTAGGACCTCTTTTTATTTACTTAGATCTGAGTCGCGACCGCGGCGCTAGATAATATAGTGATGTACAATATACATTTTATATTATATTATTATTAAAATTGAAAAAAGTATATGTATATCTTCTATGTGGGGAAAAATTACCAATAAATGACCAATTCCTCAAAATTGCACTGTGTAATTTTTTACCCACACTAAAATTATATATTAAAACATATTTGTATGCCTATTTAATTATCTTACCATACTATACAATTTATATTGTTGGCAAACCATCATTATCAACAACTCCGCTCAGAATAGTTTTTTTCGTTAGAAATGGTTTATCGTTGCTTACAGATACAAATTAATTTCCTTTCTGTATCCTACATTCCCAACTTCTCACTAACAACAGTGGCTGCACTCATCGTGCGAAGTATGTCCGTATTTTTTATAATTCAGCTTTGAACAAAAGAAATCGAAATAAAATATTGAACATATTAAATATACACATCATTACGGTTCAAACAATATCAAATTTGATATGAATGGATACAAATTGTGTTTTGCATAGATTAGTGTACTTAAAACGAAAATTTATATTACTGAAAACTATAGAAATACACTTACACTTAATGTTTTTACATGACATTGACGATATAATATCATTGTAAATACAATTGCCAGTATATACGTTTTTGAATTGTATTACTTCATCAATTTACAATACAATAATGATAAATAATAATATATTAGATTAAAATGATCAGCAATTAAGATTTGTCTACTAATTACGTGAAAATAAATTTTAACAAAAGGTAGATCGATAATTAAATTATCCGCGGTCTACCGGTCGATTACGATCGACCGTTTGGCCACCCCTGTATAGTATACTATAATACATTTTATAAAACATCTGCCGACGAGGGTGTGCGTTCATACCGATAGTCAGGGGTGGAGAATTGAGAGAAGAATGTTGATCAAGAGACGATAACGACGCAGCTCCTCCACAAAACCGTATACGTTTTATAACACCCGTCTTAAAAACGCCTACACGAAAATATAATGTAACACAAATGTGAAATTTTCTTACACAAAACAGATATTATTATTATTATTTTTAGAGCTTAGGAAAGTTTTATGGATACACCATCATAACTTTGTGTGCTTAAATATTAATATATCGATTCATCGGAAATGTTATAAGATTAACACAGTTTTGTATATTTTATGTTTACATATTTTGTCATCAAAATGTATACATTGTTTATATATTATTTATAAGTTAATATTAATATAAAGTTTTACATTTTTCCTATAAATAATTGCATTATAATAAACATTATTGTAAACAAAATTAATTTTAGGTGATTATATTTATGTACAACTAAAATTTAAAATACAATTTTTCTTTAAACAGAATAAAGTAAAAATTTGACTGGTACCGTTTTTTTGTTCTTTTTTTGTTCACTTCGACATAGATAAAAAATTATCACCATAGTGGACAATAAATTATTACGATAGTGGAATTTTATAATGTGAAAATAATTTAAACGAATGCAGTACACGACTGATATAAATATACAAGCTACAAATAGCCACAAAATGTTGTTTTGAATAATAATGTCATTGACCGTCGAATAAGACTATTAGTATAATTCTACTACATCTACATCAGAGGCGGTTTTAAAGTATTATACTTAGTGGTACAAGATATATGGAGAAATTATCGACTCAATTTGATTTTCATGAAAATTTATTTAAAGTATATTTAAAACTGAATAATAAATTATCACATCATATATGTAAAACAATGATAATGTGTTATCACTGTGTACTTTGGGGTGATATTGGTGATATTTGCAACGAGAGAAAAAACTATAATAATTAATGAAAAGTATTAATTTGTAATATAGGCAAAGTTAATTGTAATTTGTACCATCAATTATACATTTAATAACATTTGAATGTATCAAGTATTGAAGTATCAACGAATTGAGTACAGCGACATTTGAAAAGACACCCTAGGTTCAATTATCGCCTGATATTATTTGCCGGACCAAATGACAGGTCATCCAATTGAGACCGATGTATATTAAACAATAAATATATAATTTCCAGATGAAAATTATGAAAACATTCTTGAAATGCATAACAAAGGTGAAACTATTAAAACTGTTTGGGAGAGATGAAAAAAGCTAAGCTCTAACCGTGGAAAATTAGACTTTCCGGGAAAACTGGTAGAGCAGGAATTATAAGAAGACGGACATACCTAATTCGCACGTGAGTGGATCACTGCTGTAGGGTAGGTAGGAAGTTGGGAAGGTAGGGGGAAATTTAATTTATATCTTTACATAACGATTCTGAGTAGACAACAATATACATATTACATTGTGATAAAATAATTACTTAATATACATCACATCATGTCACCAACGTAATAAGCAAAGCGCTTGAAGAGAAAAAGTATTGCTGCGGAGTATTCCTTGACGTGGCTCAAGCTTTCGATAATGTTTGACACAAAGGATTACTTATAAAAATATGTGAACAGCTGCCACACACCTGGTGCGCACTTTCTGAATCCTACCTGACTGAACGTCAATTCAGTGTCATTCATAAAGAAGCATTAACTGATTGGAAAAACATATCGGCGGGTGTACCACAAGGAAGCATTCTTTGACTAATCCTGTACTTACTCTACACAGCGGACATTCCAACCAACAACTATTCAATGACAGCCATGTCTGCTGATGACACGGCAATAATGACAACAAATGAAGACCAGCAGACTGCGACTGATTGGTTTCAAAGTTCCATCAACAACGTTTTCAACTGGACAAAACGTTAGAAGATTGAACGTTAGAACAGTGAACAATCGGTGCACGTAAATTACACCTTGCGTAAAACCGTCTATAAACCGGTATTACTAGATCAGCAGAGCATCTCAGTGTGACTCAACAAAATATCTAGGAATGCACCTGGACTCTCGGTTCAACCGGAAGCACCGCGTTAGACAGAAAAAACTGCTAATTAAGAAGAAAATACAACATCTATATTGGTTGGTTGGAAAACATTCCGAACTAGACTTCACAAGCAAACGCCTCTTGAACGTAATGATAATTAAACCAATATGGACATATGGAATTCAACTGCGGGGTTGTACCAGCAAGTCCAATGTTGAGATTATACAACGTTGTCAGAACATCGCTTTCCGTACCATTGTCACAGTTTACCGGTATTACAGAAACGACATTATCCATCGAGATATGGTGATCACCTTCGTCCAGGATAAGATTACCAAGTTTGCCGGCAAACATGAGAAAAGACTGGATTAACACACCAATCCAGCAGGAATTCAACTACTAGACAATTCTCTAGACATTAGGCGTCTCAAACGCCGAAGACCATATGACTTACTATAAGACTCTTAGACTAAGATAGGTGACACTCCACTGGGAGTGAGATTCCACACATGTTTATTTTTTTTATATATAAATACATCACAAGTATTTATGTACACCTTTGATAATGTATTGTTAAAGATTTTTTTGATCGTTACAATAAAAGTTGTCGGGCGTTTATTTTTTAATTTTTTTTTTATAATGTCTACAAAAATTCCACCAGAAATCTTGCAATGAAGTTTCAAGTGTAACACTATATGAAAAGAAATTTTCCAGGGGTGATATTTTTGACAATTTATTTTTTGAATTTCCCAGGATTTTCTATAATAAATAAGAGAATCTTGAAATTTTTAGAAATAATCAGAAAATTAACTACATTTTTTATGCAGGTAATATTTATTCGGTACGTACTCTGTGAATAAAATTGTTGGAATAAACAGAAATGCTTGAAAATTTAACAGAAGGTTCATTATAAATTGTGTATCTCAATTTTTGAATTGAGACTATATTTTAAGACAAAATTCTTTTATGGAAACATCGGCAAACCAGTATTTTAAATAATTTTGTTATTATTAGATCTGTAAATGTTTTAAATAATTATTTTATGAACATTATTGAATGATAAAAAAAAAAAATAATAATAATAATAAAAATATATTACGCCAATTTATAAATTAGAAACTGGAACAATATTATGGTGCTGATGGTATGAAAGAAATGTAACAATTTTAATTTCATTTTTTAATAAAATTACATCAGATATTATTAAATTATATAAAACAATATTAGTTAATTTTAAATGGTCTTAAAAACTATGATAATATTTTAAGTGGTTAAGAAATATTATGAGTAAAATACATATAAAAATAAAAATTATTTTTAATTAGATTTTACGGGTACAATTGTACATTTGATTTTAATTTTAATATTTAATATTTTTGTTTAACTGAAGACAATTATTGCATTGGTAAATTTATTAATGTATTGTATTATTAAACAAAGTATATAATATGTGTATGATTATTAATTATTAGGACTTAATTTATTTTTATCTTGTAAACTTGCTATAATATAGCACTGTAGTTGTGTATTATTCAGCCACAGTGTCATCACTCTTTTCATTAACCTTTTCATTGGCTACATTGTTTTTCAATGGCGCCATTGGTTTCTGATTAACAGATTTACTGAGATTATGAACAAATGAGTGCGATCTATACAAAGACAAGTAGCAAAATATGTTTTAATAATATAATTAAAGACATAGAATTTTTAATAAAAAAAATAAACCTACCTGAATTCATCATCCAGATAAACATCGAGCGTTTTGATAATTTTTGTGAATGTTGGTCTCTGATTAGGTCTCCAATTCCAGCATGATTTAGTGATATTGGCTAATATATCAGGGCAGAAAATGGGCAAGTTTAGTACGTTTCCCCTGAGGACATAATCTACGACCTGGCTGTTGGTTTTGTCCGTATAAGGCTGATCACCCAATGTCATAATTTCCCAGATTACAATTCCGTAACTCCAAACGTCCGACTGACTGACGAATATACCTTTGGCGAGGCCCTCGGGTGCCACCCATCGTACAGGTAAATCACACCCGCTAACTCTATAATAAAGATCACCTTTATAGATTTGTCGACTCATACCAAAATCGCCAATTTTAACAGTCATGTCGTTAGTGACCATACAGTTCCGCGCTGCCAAATCCCGATGGATATATTTATGATGTTCTAGGAATGCCATACCATCAGCTATTTGTGCGGCCATATGAACCACCCTATACCTAAAATATATTAAATTAAAATTAAAATCGAAAGTTAATACTTAATCAGTAATTGTTTTACATGGTTGGAGGAGGAGGTTCGTTGAATTCTTTACATTTCACCAATACAGATTTTAAATCACCACGGCTCATTAGTTCCATCACCAACAGCGGTGGTCCAGATTTCGTGACCACTCCTAATAATTTCACTATGAAGTATCCTTCACTGAAATTCTTCATTATGGCCGCTTCTTTCATAAATTCCATATAATACCTTGTAAAGTTTGGCCTAGTCATAGATTTTATGGCACAAGGCACGTTATTTGGCATTAGTATACCTTCATGAACAGTACCAAACATTCCTCTGTTGATTAATTTGTTTATCACTACATTTTCTCTAGGCACTTCCCATTCATCCTGGACATAGACACTGACATAAATTTGGTCTTCAGTTACCTCAATATTATTTATTTGGCGGGCTAATTTACGCCTAAAGTACCTACGGATAATGATGCTGACTAACCATACTAATAAACAACTACAAATGAGAATTATAACGATCAGATTTAAATAGTCTTGTGTATTGAAACTGGAAATGTAAAATGTATGTAACTCAGTATAAGGCCCCTCCCCAGCCAACGAAACCGCTCGGATTCTAAAGTGATATTCACCGGGCAATAAATGTCTGATGACATACGAACGACCTGCGGTTATGTATTCTTTCATAGTAATGCACACGGACTCAAAAATAATAGCATCCTTGTATTTATAATCCAAATGAAAACTGTGTATCACACTATTTATTAGAGTCGGTACCTCCCATGATATATTAATAGTGTGATTGTATTCTTCCGATTTGACTTTGAGGTCGTCTATAACGTCAGCTTGATTATTTTTCAACGTACGGAAAAACAACAACGTCTCTTGACTACAAGGATCCTGGGGAGCAGTGGAAAGTTTTTCTAGCTTGGTAATCTCTCTACAAACTAAAATAGTCATTACGTATTGACTGTAATGTCTAAGTCCGCTAATATTAAACGATGTGTAATTTTCATCCAACTCATAAATAATGTAATCTCGACTAACTCCTGTTTTAAAATTTTTGTTAGACTCACCACCGATTGACCACGTTTGCGTGCAGTTCTTATTTATATTATTTTGAAAATACAGGTCATCTTTAGTTTGCATAGACATACATTTTGCTTCAACGAAAACATCGATAAAGTTACTACACGATTCAAGCACAGACTTGCGACTGTTCAACGGAATCAAATTGATGTCTAAACTATGCTGTAAACTATTACACAAATTATTTACGATATTTTTTTGTGGCTCACATTGTTCTTCGCAATACTGGTTTACGAGCAGTGGTTTAGTAATCGATGCGGATTTGTATGGAAGACCGTCGCCCAAAAATGTTTGATTTTGACAATAACTGCGTTCCTCCAAAACGACTGGGTTATCGTGTAAATAAAATCCTCTAATAACGTATTTGACTAATTTACCGTAAGGATGTGAGGGAGGTTTCCACTTGAGTTCCACTTGAGAACTAGAGAGCGGTTTAGCAGAAAAGTTTTCGGGAGTAGACGGTTTCGACGGAAGTGTTCTACTACGAAATATTTTACTCATACTGGTTTTGGACGAAATCGTATAAGTTTTAACATAGTATATATACTCCGTGTTCGGCTCTAAATTAGTGATCACGTGGTATTGTTCAGGTTCGTTGTTCTTGTCCGTTTTTTTCACACTAATATCTTCGATTTTCCAATTGCAATCTTCACACTCTGTAGTCTTGATAGTTTCATTCCATTTGTCTGCTTCAATAAAATACACTAGAAACCTTTCTAGGTCATCAACTTCGATGGGTTTATGCAACCGTAAAACAATAGAATACGGTAGGATTTTAATAATATCTACTACTAAATTGTAAATGGTGCAAGCGAATTGATCCCCGTTTGATATGGGTGATACTTCGATGTCTGAGAATGGTGGTAGTGTAGACAAATTTCCAAATTTATATATTTCCGACATACATAACTTTGGGTTATAATGAAAGGATACTGTACCTTTCAATATCTTCACCTCGCGGGGTTCGTTATCTTCGGTAGTCCACAATTTTTGTAAATTTTCGTTACCGCGTATTACTAAAGCCATTTTTTTAACAGTTTTTTCGCCACGTATTTCGTACAAGTTTTTAAAAAAATTCAAAGAGGTTAACGAATATGAACGTATGATTTTTAACTGATCTAAGATTACTTCTACTTTGCCAACATAATCTTCTAGTCTATGTTCTATGTCTTCAGTAGAGCCAAACTTGACTTCAATCTCTAAAGATTTAACAGTCGTGCAATTGGTGTGTAGACGATACTCGTCTTTCTTTGTCAACATTTCGTCATTAATCTTGAAACTATTGCAATTACGATGACAATTTCCGTTTTTTGTTTTCCTACAAACCATACAATTATTTTTGTCTGGTGTTACTTCATAACCATATGGGCATTCATCAATGCAACGTTTTTCAAACGGCATGTAATGAAAATTCAAATCGTCCCATGTCGATTCTTCTCGGTATACGGGCAAACTGCGACACTCTTCTTCGGTTAAACACGACCCGATATGACCATAGCTAAACAAATAATTTATATTATTAACATATAATCTAGGTATAGAAATTAAGTTTTATTTAAAAAAAATTATTATTAATTTTAATTATTTTAAATACTAACAAGCCAGAAGGGCATTCTTGAATACATTCACCACCATGCATGTACGCGGTGCACGCGAAACAATGTCTAGCAGAGTGGTTTTGATGGCAACCGCCGGCACACAAAGGATGACAGTCTTTCAATTTGCCGTATTGACAGGAATCGGGGCCAGGTTGTTGTGACCAACATTTATCTTCTAAACAACTGCTATTGTGACATCCAGGACATCTTCCGGTCTCGTTGTTGTTAATGATGTTCTGGTCGCTGTTTACTCCATTTGTAATTTGCCCCCAATCAATTGTCGCCGCATTACACAATTCTATGAAACAAAAATGTAAAGAAGTAACTGTTATTATTAATTTTTCTAAAACAATCTCAAATTGAATAACAGTTGCAAAATGATAAAAAAATATTTTCTTAATTGTATAGTATCCGTTTTAATAAATTCATATCAAATATGAAATTTAATTTTTATTGTGTATATTGCACGTAAAAATAGTCAGATTTTGTTTTTTAATTCGAAGCGTAGAGAAAAATTTATTGGTTTTACTATAATGTATGTTTTTTTATTTCTATTTTTTGTGCCTAGCAGAAAACTTGCTCCGAAGTATAGACTATAGCACCATATCTGAAGGGTATTTTATCTAATAAGTGCATTGATAGGTAATTTTTTAATTTTTCAATTAGTTTTCGAAATAATTAGGAAAACCCGAAAGAAAATTATGGGTGAAACACGAAAAATATTTACAGCGCACCGTGGCATCGTCGTTTTTATTTTTGTAGCCAATGTTTTTTATCAGGTACATTTCGCCAATCGAAATACGACAAGATACTTTTTTTGTCACATTTTTAATCCAGTTGGCGGTTAATTATTAATAGTTTTAAAATTGTTAGTGTAGTTTTTTTTAATAATTAAGCAAAACCGAAAATTACCTATAAAGAACAGACAAATTTACGAAAATAATTCTTTTGTTACTCTAAATTTTTTTTTTTTAATGTAATTCAGTTTAAAATACTCACAGAGACTTAAAATATTGACAAAAAAATTATATTAACTTTTCCTAGATTTGGTAAAACTTTCAAAATATTTGAGCAATTTTTAAGTTATTTATTGACATTTTAAATTTGCTGAGTTAATGACGTAATTTTTACTCGGTGACACTCTGTAGATAAATTGTTAGACTTCATAGAAATGCTTGAAACTTTGATAGAAGGTTCATTATAAGTCGTAGTTAATGATAAAAAAAAAAAATTAGTTTAATGTAGTATATTTTTTTTATAAGAGTTTTAAATCTAATTTTGACGACAATCGTAAATATTACGGCCGTTCAAAACATGTATTAACAAACTTTCGCTCTTAATCGTTTCTCGTTATCAATAGTTTATTGTTAGTTACAGGTATAAATTGAATAACTCTGTGTATCTCACCTTCCCCAATAAAGATCTTACAATAGTTACAGCATCCATACCCAATATTTTATTTTTTATTTTTCATATACTCACTAATTTGTTCTAAAAAAATAGTATTAATAATGTAACTGGCATATTGTGATTAATTTGTTCACGTCACAGCTCTAAAGATAAATAAAAAAAGCTGTCGTAGGATAATGGGGACGAGTGCAGTCACTTATATTAGTAATTTAATGTATATCTGTAACGATTAACCATTGTTAACAAAAAAACGATTCTGAGCGCAGTTCAGTTGATAGTGATGCTTTGTCAACAATATATATATCATATTATGGTAAAATAATTAAATAGGCATTATATATTTTCTTTAATAATATTTGTTTAGTGTTTTACCGATTTTCCCAGTTATCCTACTCTTTTCCATCTTTCTCACATTTTTTCCCGGTTCCTTATTCTAAAACGTTTTGTATTATTGAATGAATGATCAATCTTTGACAAAACTCTTTTTATAACTATGGAAAATATAATTTTTTTTTAGAATTTATGTATTATTTTTTTTTAATTGACACTGAAAATAAAAGCTCAACATTTTACATTACCGTTATTTTTTATTATCCTTATTTATAGTGGTCAAACAATTTAAATAATTAATATAATAAATACATTTTAATGTTTTTTGCAAGTTTTTAATTTCCACCAACCTGTTGACGAGATATTTCACTTTTAAGTTTGGGTAGGAGAAGGAGAGTAGTGAAGTATCATTTGTGTAGGTCAATTAGGTATAATTAATTTAAAATTACCTATCTACTTACTTACCTATCTATTATGTTCGCCATTACCAATAAGCTATTTCAGTTTGTGGTTTATTATTAAAAATTTGACAACTTCCCTACCTTATCACACAAATTTGAAAAGAGAATATTTTTCCAAACAATCGGATATGCATAAAATCAATATCCAATTTACCATTTATGGGATTATTATTCTTCCAACTTCATAACAATATAATACATTGTGGCACTTAAAAAACACTTAATTCGAGGTTCTGTCAAGTGCATATTGTTAAAATTATTGTGAAGGGGTTTATTATTTGAAAGTTCAAAAAAATATTTATCTATATACCAACGACATACTAGCAATTATGATAGCTGCATATACCTACTGATAACATTGGGATATCTGGACTTTTAGATCAAGACACTATAATTTGATCCCAAGACAACTAGATCCATACTGTTACCAAAGTTATGGTTGGGATCTAAATGACCTGGGTCCTATTTGTTCATACACCGCCGTATATATATATAATCGTGATAAGAACTTTTTGTTGCCACTTAATCATGGCTCATTATCACGTTCTTAGTACGTAATCAATGCGCAACCATTTACATCTACAGCTTTGTTATACATATGCTCATAATTATTCTTATCATATTTCATAGAATCGTAAGTTATGTGTTCAAAAATATTAAAAGAATGCTTTATTTTGTTTTAAAATGATTTGTCATATTGTACCTCGTTCAAAGTGTTAAAATATCGAAGAATCTATTGGTTAAAACACAATGTATTTTTTTTTTCACAAATATACTACTGAAGAAATTTAAGTTGGTTTAAGGGAGTATTTTTTTTTCTTACAAGAGAATCAAAATACCTAAGCACTTTTATAATTATTAGAGATAATTTTGAATGCAGATAAAATGTGTATAAAAAACTCGTTGGATATATTTCGAGATTTACATACATATTAACACTATACCTACGACACTAGTTCACGACGTTTGACATTTTTGATTTCATGAAAATAATCGTGATATTATATAAATTATTTAAAATTACGAATAGTAACAAAATGTATTTAATCTACTCGAAGTAGTAAGTAAAATTACACATAGTATACCTACATGGTTGAAAAATTAATATAATACGTTAGATCGACGACGTAAACGGTATTAACATGTAAACAAAATAAGACTCACTGGGGTTACTGGAAATAATGACAGAACCCTGAGTAATGTTGGTCAACCGGAAAAGTCCGATCTCCCTAATGTCAATGTTATCGTGAATCATCAGAGACCGACCGGGGAACGTGGATGTGTGGATGCCGCGGATCAGCGACAGGTTCGGGAACATCCTGCCTAAGTTGATAAGACCAGTGACGCGGTACACGACCATGTACTCAGTAATCTCGCGTAGGGGGTAAGTGTCCTCGAAGTCCTCAGGTTTGGTGTTGTCCATTAGGATGATTTGCAGGTGGCCTTTGATGACGGTGCAGTTTTTCAAAGACGCTAGACGTTCACCGGAGTTCATTATAGTTATGCTGTTGCAAATTTGTTCGCCATCCCTGGCCACGATAGCGGACAGTAAACACAGCCAAACGAGTGTAGGCCACCAGAAAGCGTTCATGAATGTCATTGACAGTTTTTGAGCAAACATTTTTAATTAATTTTACAAGCGAGTAAGTTAGGCTTCAATAAAACGGTGGAAGATACATGAACACATCTCAAGAAAGGAAAAAATAATTTACATATTATAAATTCGTATTTGTTTGCGCAACTGGTAATGTTTTCCCGTTTTCCGCACGGTAGCGGTGGTAGAAAAACTAAACACGAGTAATTAGTATGCAGTTGATTATTATTGATAGTTGTTTTTTTTTCTAACGAACGGTCGGGTAACAAAGCGACTTATAACATGAGGCACAGCGCGCGCTGGTCCTCACGAACCACTGAAAACGCGTGTCGAACCGCGACGACAGCCCATCTCGGCGGCAGTTGTAACGACGACGTGCGCGCCTTGGGCGGTGGTGGCGGCGGCGACGACTACATTTTGTTGTACCGCACGTTGCGTCCGTATGAGATTCTCCGGCGGCGTGACCAACGGAATTGTACGAACACTTTATAATAGCAATATGTTTGGGGGGGGGAATGATGTTTTGGGAGGAATTGACGTTTTGATAAATTTACGGCACTGCGGTGCGGTGGCCCCGTCCGTCTAGTTTGACTGCAGCTGGAAAGCCGACGCCGAGTTATCTCGGAGTTTCTACTACGTATAATGATATTATCCGACAGGTCTTTTTTTTCTCCCTCTTCCTTCGTCCAAACCCTCGTTCGGTTAGAACCCGGAGTATTATTTAGTAGTACATGGCGGTATTATTTTGTAAAACGGCCATTTATTATAACCGTATAACAATTCCTACGTGCACCGCACCGTTCCGGCCTCACTGAATTATGGGATTTTTTTTCCCTCAATTTTATTAGTGGTATTCAATTGCAAAACCGTAGCCGTCGAAATCCTGCTGTATCGTCACCACCTGCAATATCTTATAACCTGCTATAACATTGCATTCTACATTTTATTACAATTTATTATATATGTATATTCATTATTCCTAAGAATTCGACAAAGATAAACACAAAAAATGCCTCCGGAATAGGCAAGGATAATAGTAATATTTTATTTTATTTTAAGTACCATATATATAAATATTATATGTATATATCAGGGGTGACCAAACTTTTTTTTTGTAGAGATCTGTTAAGAATATATTTTTTCATCGACTTTTATACAAAACTGTAACAATTGGTATTAATAATAACCATTCATGTACAAATAATAAAATTAAAATGTATAGTTATGTTATGCTTTTCATCACGCTTTTATTAAGAATAATATAATATTTTAAATTAAATGTAGGTACCAGAAATACAATTGCTACTATAAACACTGTTAGCTGTATTACTTGTTAGGCAGACAAAACATTAAAGATAAAAATGAATTTAATGTGTAAAAAATGCTATTATTCGGGGCGAAGTTCAGTTATACATCTTTTGAAAGGCCGTCATTTTTACGATTTTAAAAAGTTCAATATTAAAACCCATTACGTTACGCTAAACTACTTGTTTACGAATATTAACGAGTATTAATATTTAATAATTTTGTTTTTACTTTATTATTTTATCACTAAGTTGAACTTATAATGAACCTTAAATTTATTTGAAAAATAATAATTTGTAAAAAACAAGCATTTGTGTTTAATTAAACTATTTTAGCACACAATAAAAATAAATAAAATAAAAATCGGACACGGATACTTCATCACGACCAACTCGCCGCTGCACATTTCGCTGCCATCGCTCGCCACCACCGTCTCGCCGCCACAACCTAGCAATTTTAGTACTTAACTCGGGAGGGGGTAAATTTACACAACTAAAACAGTATATTCCACTTAAACCCTACCAAGCCCACCAATATTATAGAAGTTATGTACCTCTAGGTGGGAAAACTCTCAACACCTCTCCTCCGTAAATACGATTACTGCAGTACACTATGTGTAAAGCTGTAATCTGCAACTTGTAAAATAATTTTAGTAGAAATATTTATAACCAATGACTTTTTATTGAAGGGAGGAGGAGCTGGAGATCAAAACCTCTCAGCTCCTCCCAAAAAAATAAAACTTAAAAGCAAGTGTCATCAAATATCACTCAACAAAAATTCTATTCCCCCCCCCCCCATAATAATTGCATACATGAATATTACCAGACAACCTTTAATTACAAAGTAAATCTATTCTGAATAGCGGACACTATTGCCATAGCTAGGGTAGAAGCACTGTAGGTATGCCCTCCGATTTATTTGGTTTTATATTGATTATTTAGATGTATTTTATCGTAATAATAAATAGTTGGCAATGTTCAAGTTATAAGCCGAATTTTTTTTTTTTTTTTATGCTGCAGTACACGGTACCTGGATTTGTTGTACGAGTACAACACTCCGGTACCCACGTCGGGTAGGTACAGGAGAAAATGTTTTATTTTTAACACGAACAAATTCGTTAAAGAATATTTTCGTAAAAAGAAGTGTAAAAATTGTGTATACCTATGTGCCCCGAGATTCCCAATCAAAAAATTGACCATTGCGTCACAAAAATTATTAGTTTAAATAGTTTGAAAATTAGAATTTTAAAGTTCCGTTTCGTAAAAATATTAAGTCAATATTGAAGAAATTTAGACAATTGTCACTCGGCAAGACGTTTCCGAGTATCACAGTTGGTATAACAATTAAAGGGATTACAATAATTAATAACAATATTCATAATAAATTAATCAAATATTCTTTTGACAAATCTATATTGATAAAACATTATCGTATTTTCCAAGTACGACCGTTTTATTATGTCAAAATAATACGTTATGTGTAAGTAATCATTATTATTATTGTCGGCGCATCCGAGTTGGGTCCCGCGCTCAAACATCTATACTATTTAGGTGCCGGGTTTATTCAGGTTGTTTATTAGTCGTTTATTACCGTAATATCAATATTAATTAATGTAATAGTTTAGAAATTTAGAAAAATAAAACACCATGTATCCTTCTTAATATCTACTAGTTGATGGAATTTTTTAAAAAGTACCCGAATAGATACTTACATTTAAACGAGAAATTTAGAAAAAAAGAAACGAAATTTATTTTGCAAAAAGAAAAATTAAAAAATCATTAAATGACAAAAAACAAATCACTGGCTATATAGATCCTAAATCTGTAAAAATAAATAGGAAAATGTTTTGTATTGCTTTTAAGCGTTCGGACTCAACCAGTATTATATTAGGTATCCAAAATTCATTTGAACTCAACTAGTGTTGAATAGTACTATCTATAAAAACAGCTAGGGTGCAAGACCCAACTCGGATGCAGCCATTATTGTAGTTACCTATCTATGAAACTAAATTTTGAGAACTCTGAACTTTTTAAAACTGATCATTTAATGTAACACTAAAACTGTTTTACAAGTAAAATATGGTGTAGAGTTATATAATATGCCATGTGTATACAGTGAAACTACAAAATACCGGACACTCTTGGTTGCTGAAATTTTGTCCACTATTCAGAGGTGTCCGATATTTAAAAGGAGAAATTGAACTTTTATTAAATTAATTTAATTTTTACATTAATTAAATACATCTTAAAGTTACAACATTTCATTGACGCGATAATATGTCGACATAAATAAAGATATACGTCACGTACAGTATACCAATGTACATACATAGTAATAAAAGTAAACTTAATAGTGTAGAATTTTATTTAGGTATTCTGCAATTATTCTTAATTTACGGAAAACATGATCAATATCAATGTTAAAAAGTGTTCGTTATTTAGAGTGTCCTGTATTTAGAGGTTTCCTATATGTATAAATAGTGAATATATCCCCGAAAAAGTCCGTTGTTTGGAGGTGTCCGCTATTTGGAGGTGTCCGCTATTTAGAGGGGTTCGTTAAGGGTGGTTTCACTGTATTTACAATATACATTGTATATATACATATACGTGTGTAACTATGTAGATATATGTCCACTTTAAAGAAAAATATCAACTGATTAGATGGAATTTTGTCCGACAGAATATATCATTTTATCGGAAACCAGACAATATTATATTTGTGAAACACTGAACTATACACAGGTATACAATATTTTAATCATGTTTCGTCCCTAGTAAACGCAATAGCTCAGGTCGCCGCCGAAAATGTGCGACGACAATTATAAGCACGTATAATAATATAGTCTCGTCGCTGTCGCACTGTGTAATACTATTACAGTATAATACACATTTATTGAAACGGGTCTTTTTTGTGTGTGCGCCACGGACCCGGAATCGACCAATGACATTACCTAGGTTGGTCGCTCGGCCTGTATTCAATTCTTACCTTATTTTTATCGCATTCGAATTGCTAAATTAAAATGGCTTTTGAAATATTATCATTTTCATACAATTTTTGAATTATTTAAATTATTTTGAAAGATATATTATAAACTGTAATAAGTATAAATGTAAATTTTATTTTATTTCAAATTTACGTAGGTATTGCGATCGCACCATCGCACCTTGGCAATTATACGAATACTATAATAAAAAAAGAATTGCAATAATATTATAGTAATAACATAATAATACATAGATGAGAATTAAGAACACAGGAAGGTCGTCAATTTTCGATAATATAGAAGGTTGCCTATACAAACCCCTTAAAAATATGTATATTGTTGAAAAAATTTAGAATGAGTCAAGACTTGAAAGTAAAATTTTACATTATAAATGTATTATAATTTATTTTGTTATTTATAAAATATAAAATACTAGTTACCTACTCAATTTAAAATTTTAAATTGATTTTAGATTCTGAGTGTAAAGAAGAATTTATTGGTTTTACAAAGATGTTTATTATTATTTTTTTTATTTACTGTGTACGAAAATTCTACCAGAAATCTTGCTCCAATATGTACGCGCAACACCATTTCTAAAATTAAATACTATCCATATGACACTTTTGGAGGGTCATTTATTATTTTTTCAAGCGGTTTTCATAATATATGGGAAATATCAGAAAAAGAACATAAGAAAAACAGAAAATTTATGAAAATAATGCTTTTATTATTCATTCAA